ATGTAGCGATATAAGTGCGTTATGATGGTTATAACACACGAGGAATTTCAGACCGATCCAGGGCATAATAGAGCCGAGTGTGTTAAATACGCACGCACTACACGCGAGGCTTTTTAACACACTTGATTTTAAAAACTGTGATGTACAATGTTGCTTTCCCGTCATTTTACTTTTTTCAATCCGCGCGCTGACTACTAGCTGCACCGAGAGGCGGTCAGTTCGAAAATTGATAAAAACACTAATATTGCTGTTTTGGAATATAACTACACTATTTGCGTTTATAACGCACCCGTGTTTTATTAGTTGCCATATATATCGAAAACCGATGAAATTACACTTTACTAGCAAATGCGTATAAAATAGAAATTACATTTTCAGCTAAGCGACAAAATTAACTATTAATAGATAGTAACGAGTAACATATTCTGTATTCTATGCAAGTAATGCGCGAAATTTATCTAGTACAATAATATTACAACAATTTTCCTTGATTATCCCTGAAAATGTTTTGATCGATCGAGCCTCTAATACAACATTGGACGAAAGTTCTCGCTAAAGTAAGAAGAAATATTGCTAACGATACTTTTAATACGATCGTAAGATAGATGGGTACATTTACTTTCCTATCACGACAAAATAAGTGTTTGTTTATCCTTAGAACAAGAAGCTTTAATAATCTTGTTATCCATTTCAATCAAGTTTTTAGAAAAGAAACTTCATAATTCGAATGTATTTTTTCAATCGTTTACAATAAAGAGTGATGTTCTGAATACGCTTGTATTTTTTAATACCCTATATTTTTCTCTATTTCTACGAACTGCTTCATAGATATGAAGCAGGTGGTCCAATACAAAATTTATGAAGATATGTAGTAGGTAATGTTTATGTTATGTTTAATAAGATAATTAAAGATTTATTTGTATCCTCAACACGATATTATTCAGAGTATATATACATATACTAAAAATTTCAGCATGGGGTTTTTCAAGAGAATATTAAAGTTTCTTATGAGTATATTATTTCTTATGAACTGCCACGTATCCCTGGTGTATCAGGCGTCCATAGGCTACGGTAACCATTTACCATTAGATTGGCTGTATGATTGATTGGCATCTTCGTGGTGAAACATTTAACACAAAATCGATGCTATTTTAAGTCAAATCTTTGAGAGTCAAAACGTAAAAACATGTGTACCATTTTTTTATATTTATTTATATAATTTCAACACCAGTCATTCCTCTATACATCCGCGGACAGAGGACCTATTTAGATTATGTTAAACACGTCTACAATGCTTTGTCTCAACAACAGAAGGATTACACTCATGACATGTGTAGTTGGCGTTCCATTTTGGGTATGTTCTGTTGAAATTAACAACTAATTTGTTCTAACATTATTTATTTATTTATTTAAAACTATATTGACCAAAACATTATGGTACAATACTCTAACTTAATGCTATAGGCATTTTCTACCAGTCAACCTTCAGGAAGTGCAGAAATACTTGATGGTGGCTTAACATTAATTATATAATTAACATATATATAAATAATAGACTAAACAAGAATATTATAACATATATATACAAAACGTACATACAATACACAATATATATATACCTACATTTAATACGATGAACACATCACTTGTTCTGTGACAATAAACTTAAAAGATGAGCGATAATTTTTTTTTTAAAAGTATATATTTTGGAAATAGTTTGAATGCGTTCAGGGAGTGAGTTCCAGAGCCGTGAGCCATTGGTACCGGCTTCGCATGGATTCATTACAAATCTTAGAATTCCTGGCCTTATTTTATTTACTGTAACACGTGTGTATTACTAGTCGACTCGCGCAACGTCTGCGTTTAATTTATCTACCTTTTGCAATATTTTTCATTGCAGCTCCGCTCCTATTGGTCGTAGCGTAATGTTGTATAGCTTAAAGCCTTCCTCGACAAATGGACTATCCAAAACAAAAATATTTTTTCAATTCGAACCAGTAGTAGCGTATTCAAACAAACAAACAAACTCTTTAGCCTTATAATATTAGTAGAATAGAATAGAATAGAATAGAAGAATCCGTTGCGTAGTTTAAAAGGTATAAGAGAAAAGATAACGGCGGCGTATGTCCATAGTGCTGTTTATGTATATAAGAAAGTCAGAAGCAACGTCAAATTCTTTAGTCTTCCAGTCACATAAAAAAATAAAAAAAGGACAGATACATTTTAAAATACACATTATATTGCATACATTTATACATAACATTTATACATTCTATTTCAATACATTGTACAATGTTTTCGTTCTGCCAAAAATCGTACCAGATAGAGACAACAAGGAACTCAATTACATAATACTAGATGTGCCCGCGGTTTCAACCGAGTTAGAATTAAATTTCAATAAAAGAATATATTCTGTATCTTATCCTGATGCATAAGCTATATTACTGTGTTTCATCAAAACACGTTTAGTAGTTTTTGCGTGAAAGAGTAACAAACATTCCTATTTTTTTAATTTATAATATTATATATATTAGGATTGGGATTAAAATACATATTACCATATTATGTCAATGTTTCAGTAACAAAGAGGTAGATATAAAACTAAATTTCACTCCACACATATCAGAGTTTCAATTCTCAAAAGAAGTGGATTAGTCGATTCTCTACAGTTCATGAATACTGAATGGACACGAAATCAAATAACGTTATTATAGGTGTATGATCGACAGACAGGTTGCGTGAGGGGATCTGTTAAATATTCACTTGATCTAAAATCAGTTGTTGTACATACTAATATTAGATTTAACGAGAATTTGTTTTATACGTTACTTCCTTACAGATGATAAATTAATGTATAATAGCTATTCCCGCGAATTCGACCGCGTGGAATTTAACTTTATTTTTCTAAAATGAAAGTAGCCTAAGTTACTCCTTATTACATCAGCTACCTGCCAAAAAAAGTTCCGTCAAAATCGGCCCAACTATTTCAGAGATTAGCCGGAACAAACAGACAGACAAAAATTGTAAAAAATGTTATTTTGGTGTATGTGCCGTATTTATATTCATATGCATGTAGTAAAAACGGTTATTTCAATATTACGAACAGACACTCCAATTTTATTTATATATATAGGTTAATCTTTTTTTCAATCTTAGTTCTATTTACAGTTTTTCATCGTACTTTATTCCTAGCCTCATCCGTCATATTCGTGAACGAGTAATACTTGTAGGGACTGATCTGCTCTAATCACTACGACTGATTTAATCCTATTTACTTACTTAACCAGTTGGTTGTGTATTTAATATTTTTACTCTAATGAAATGGGGCTAGTTCATAGTTGAGTAGTTAAGTTTAACAACTGTTACAAAATGTAAACTTACAACAATTATTTAAAAGAGCAGCATGCAAGTGTATTTTCGTTTTTTTTCTAATAAGACGCTTTCCGAAATAGCGGTAGTCTAAAGGAATAACTACGAATAAAAATAAATAAAACAATAGTTGAAAACCTATAGTGACAGATTGCGTGTAAATACAATCAGAATCATAAATTCCAGATCAGAGAAGAAAATAAATAATATTATTTATTATATTAAAATCCATTAAACCTGTTGCTACACAAATTAATTAAGAAATCTGTACAAATTTATTGCTGATATTGATTTAAAAACTTTGTTGTATTTGTATGTTCAGGATACGTAAAAATCAACTTCAATCGCATTATTTTGAATAACTCCAAAATTAAAATGTTGATCAAATTTATATGAGAATACAATTAAAATAAAACATTAAAATTTACTGATAAAAAGTTTTGAGCTAAACATAATTTAAAAAAAACTATCGAATTGAGAACCCCCATTATTTTTAAATCTATTGAAAATAATGACAAACCATAAATAAAAATGTGAAATGAATTGTAAAAAACAGCAGATTGTGTTTCAATTAATAAAGTTTCAATGATATAGGAACTCGCTTTTAAAGTAATTAATCATCGTGAAACGTTCGAAAGCTTTCAACATTTTTATTGTACTGAAACGACAAAAAACTATTGGAACTAAGCTGGTTTACTGTAGTATGAAATAGGAACAGCAGCACTGGTATAAAATACATTATGACGCTCATGCTACTCGAGGGTCGCCATTTCCGAGAACCAAGGTATTATACCTCCGTATCCATTAATTTCACAGTCATATTTCATCCATCGAGCCGGAACACAACTTGCAAAGAAAGCTTGGAAAGAAGTAGGTCAGGTAAAGTTTGGTACGAAATATCTCGCTGTGATTGCTAAAAGCCGACATGTAATATGTATATTTTTTAATTTGTTAGGTTGCTAAAGAATATCAGTTTCACAACGGCTATATTAGTGTAACGTCTTGTAACTTCGAAGATACAAAAATGTGCTTCTTTATTTAGAAACACTATAGTTTTGATAAACCTTTTTTATTGTTTTTAATAAAATCCCTCATGAAGACTCACCCGCTGAGGGAGAGGTAATCATGATGAACTTCTGGTAAACCTATATTAACCTATTTAAGCAGTCTTGTTCTTTTAATCCATTTGCTTTCTTTTGAAAGAATATATTCTATTATATTTGACGGCTTTAGTGGTCTAGCGGTCTAGCACCCCGCTTTATTTCACTGGACGCAGTTTCGATTCCTCGCACGGTACATACATTTTTATTCATGATTACTGTTGTTTGTATTGGTCTCTGTGTTTTCTATATATATATTATGTATTTATGAGAAAATATCTAGCAGTTATCTTGTACCCACAATACAACCTCTGCTTAACTTAGGACTAGATGGCGCTGTGTGAATAGTCTAGGGTTATTATTATTACATATATTTATTTGTTTTATTTGTGGTTTTAGTATTTTGAGGAACGGGTTAAGATTTTGTATATGTCACTGAGTTACTTTTAAACAATTTAACAGATTGGAATATAAAAAAAAGTTTCTATACAAACGTAGATTATATTTAGAAATTTAGAAATTAAAACTCACCATCGTAGACGACTCCTCTCACCAGCGCATCCGCCTCAAATACAGGATGGGAAACGGTCAAATTAACATCACTATCTTGATCACTGATCGTAACAATTTCACGACTGTCACTCGGAATCCTCGCGAAGGCACAAGCATCAACCACTGTTCTCTCACTCACACTTGCCTCACTAACTGTCGTTACTTCTAACACATCGTCATTTGTTGTCACTTCGTCATAAACTTCTGGTACTGTAATTGTCGGCTTATCGTTATCAACTTTCAATCCGATCTCATCAGTGACATCGTTTACTTCAACAGATTCAATGTTAGGTGGGCCAGGAGATCTACCAGGCGCTGGGTCTCCATTTGGTAAACTCAAAGTTGAACTATAAGGCAACGAAGCTAGGATGATCACTGTCGCTATGAAATTCAATGAGTGTCTTTTCATTTTGAATTTTGCCAAGTTTTTGGTTCTCTGCTTTGTCGGATTTTGGTTTTTTATATGCCATTGTTTCATTGGTTTCACATATTTGTACATTACCAATGTGTTTGAAGCCATGTTCATTTGATGTCGTTTTTTATTTCTCTTGGTTTTCTTGTCTTACTATTGATGCTAGTCATGATGGACTTGGAAGAGTGTGAACAGATCTGTAACAAACAAATATAAATTATGAATATTTGGGTTTTACTAGTTTTGCCAATATTCGTGTAAATCATTTCTGGCTACCTTTGCTCACCCACGATCCCCTATATTTTAAATTGCTATATTAGTTTGACTGGAAGAGATCACTTTAATTCTGGATTCAACTTTGCAAACATTATCTAATATCTCTAATTATAATAATGAAGTACTCTATTTTAACAATATATTATGAAATACTAATATAATTCCTTTATGGCAATGACAAAGTCGTAACTTAAAAAGTACCCACTAATAAGGTGAGAATATATTTTTATTGTTATAATGAATAAATGCATAAACAACCCTGAATAATTTACACGGCGATTTTTAATCCCACTGTAAGCAGAGCTCGTGTTACGTTTAGTAAAACAACTGATATAAATTAATAATAATACAATGATGAATTTTTCGATATATAAATTATCAAAAATCTTTATCGAAAGGTATAGTTTATCTATGACCCCGCACTACGTTGTGCCTATATCAAACAATGGTTTGTATCAAATGGTCAATGACCTTCTTTATTACTACTTACTCTTATTATACGTAGAGATTATTTCCCATCTTAAAAATTTAAGTCATTCGAGTCTCAAAGCCTTATTTGATTTATAAATGCTGTATCATTTTTCACACCTTTACCGTTACCATAATAACATTTATTCGAAAGCTTCCGATATTTAGTCAGGGGTCGAGTGGAGAAGGCGGTGGATTTAAACAATTACGAGCAGATAAATCTGTCTAACCATTTTAGTCTTTTTACGTACACCGTCGCCACTAAGTATCTCATTTATGTAATGACTAAAAACCTTTAATATCTAGAAACCGGTTCGTCGAGAGTATGGATAAATTCCCTGTCGATGGTGGGGCAATGGTAAAAGCTAGCCGTGGATAACATTGGTTATTATGATATTAAAATATCTGCCTTGCCTAAGCCTACAGCAGTTATACTTAAACTTCTAAACTTTTATGCATATTAGGTACTAAAAAGTATTGTTTTTTTTTTTCGGACATTCTAATGCTGTTGGCCGCGCAGGCGCCCGCTTGAATGCGCGATATGATGTGTATGGGATCGCCGTCTTCGCCGGCGAGGACGGTGTTGTGATTATGTGCAAAAGTGTGGTCGGGACGGAAAGGGCAGGTTTACTGCCGTAAAAAAGTATTGAAAAATGAAACAAGGTACTACATTTTTTATTTATAGATATCCCCATTTAATAAAATCATTCACAATCCCTTCCAATCGGAACTTAAGTGCTTTATCAACTTTAAATTGAACGTCGGCCGGAGATGTCTTCGAAAAATCCGGTACATCATCAGCAGCAGCAAAAGTCAGAGGTAATAACCAGATTGCAACAACAAGACCGAAATCTAATCTTTCTTTAAACAAAGTTTCGAAAGTATCCCTTGGAAAGTAATCTTCTATATTCATATCGAAGTATCTGAGAAATGTTGTCATCGTTTCATAATACAAGATCTTTATATCTTCCAAATGTTCGTTTCGAAACTGTTGATCAGTTCCTGAGAAGATGAAGTACAATAGATCCGTAATTGGATTTCCGTAATGCAGGAATTGATAGTCGACCGGACATATATTTGTCACTTCACCATTCTAAAATATAATACAAAAAAATAGTTTAACAAATTGTGAATGAAAAGCTGTGATTATTTTTTTTATATTCAGATCCAATTTGTATGTCTCGATGTGAAAAAAAAATGCAAAACACTCTTGTTTTAAACTCTATATATATTAAGATGCAGCTAAATTAGTAATAAAAATAATATTATATACGATATAAAAAATATTATAATTTAATTATAACTATTCAATGTTTCGAAATGTTGTGATTCCCACGCCGACGTTAATGAAACGTTTGAAATTATATAGAATAGCACTAACAAAGTATTTCTGCGTTTCAAGTCAATTGTTTACACATAGTACTTACGTTTTCTTTCATTAAAAGATTATTTGGCCTGAAATCACCGTGGCACAGGCATCTTACCGTGTCATCGCACATGGATGCAGACATTTTAGTCATTACTCTTGGTACAAAATCCTCTAATTTCTTTTTCATTATTCCCTCTAAATTATTAGTCGCAATCTGAGCAAAATTATACATTATTTTTTGCATTTCATCATTAAAATCATATGGTACTTTAATAGACTGCATTTTATTAAGAAAGTATTGGGGTCTTTTCTTCTGCGTTACAAACGACAAGGCATGAAATTTTGCTAATTTTTGAACTGAAATCTTAGCAAAGGTTTTCTGTACTGCCTGAAATCTGTTATGAGTAGAGAAACCCTTCTTTGTTAAGTTTTCTAATATTATAAATTCGGAGTTACTAGAGTCATAGTATTTTGGTACATTAAATTGTTCTTCAATAGGAACATCGACTTCATCTTGCAGCTCCTTGTAAATTTTAAACAGTTCATCATATGCATATATTTCTCTTGTATGAAGTTCCGGTATTGATAATATATTATCACATTTGTCAAAATTGTCTAAAACTCTTTTCACGAATATATTTACTTCTTTAGTTTCATCATTAGTTGTTCCTTTGATATCAGCTGTTATTAAGGTTGATAAATAATTACCTCCATCTAACGGAACATGCGTTATATTAACTTTATATGTTTTGTATTCTTCTTTTGCAATTATGTCTTGGATCACCTTTCTTAAGGCTGGAGAAATACAATTGTAGGAATATCCATGAATGATGCAATCACTTGTATGAACGCTGCAGCGCTGACTCTTTACTTCCATTACGGATAGTTACGTAAACAATGAGTGCAGACTGCATTTGTTCTCATATATATGGCCATATATTTAGTAATAACAATGGTCTAAACATGTTTTCTTATCACTTTATTTTCATACAAAGATATAAACGATTTACTATATGATAATACATGTAAATCATTGTATAAACTTGATAATTTTGTATCATAAGTTGATTTACTTGACGGGCTCGGATGTCTAACTTTATAGTACACCGCTTTACTTCTGATGATCGTTAGTTTTCCTTACACACGATTCCTTACACAGTGCAAACATGAGGATGATTGTTTGTATTGATTTGAGTTTTTTCTTATGTATGTGTTTAAAAAATATTATATTTAATTATTTCTATCAGTTATCTGGTACTCGTACAACAAGTTTTGTAGCTTGCGATTAATGGTGCTGTATGGGTTGTTAAAAAAAAATATTTTTCACAGTTATCACACAAACTTATCGTGGTACTAGATGGCACTGTGTGAATAGAAAAAAAAATGTTTAATTAAAGACTTTGCTAAGTAACACAATACATGCAATCGTGGATACTTAATTAATGTCTGCCAGATAACGATGATAAATAAGAAATCAACGTGAATTTATTTGCTATCTCATTTAATTATAAAAAAACATTTATATTAATTTTGCAAATAATTGTGACACAAATAGGTTATCGTTTATATGAGTACACTTTATTTATGTAAATGCAGATAAAACAGACAACATTTTATGACTTTAATAATTAACTGGTATTAAAATTTTAGCTAACATTATAAAACACTTGTTATTGGTATGCGACAAGTAACTATAATTAGCACAAAATAACAAGACTTAAAATAGTTATTTTATAATGTACTAGCTTACATATAATCTTCCTCTTGTATCACTTTGTCTGATGCTAAAAACTACATTAAAATTCGTTGCAAAGTTTCAAAGATCTGAACGGAGAGTCAACGAAAGCGACTGCAAGTTATACTATATAAAGAAGACTTTTTTTTATAGCACAGGGGACAAACGAGCATGCGGCTCACTTGATGGTAAGTGATTACCGCCGCCCATGAGCATCCGCAACACCAGGGGAATTGCCAGTGTCTTGTCGGCGTTTTAAAAAGGAATAAGCTCTTTTCTTGAAGATTTCAATATCATATCGGTTCGGAAATATCATAGCTGGAAGGTGATTCCACAATGTGGTTGTGCGTGGCAAAAAGGTTCTAGAAAACCGCACTGTGGAGGACCGCCATTCATCCAGATGCTGATCATCTGGTAGGATTTTTACATTTTAGAAAGTAATAATCTTATACACCCCTTTAGCCAACCCTCCGGTAGTGTATTTGTGAACATTTTATACATATTAAAAAAAATAGGTTCTTACATTTATTTACTTATACCAGAAGACCCAGCCACCCGTTGCTGTGGCTAAGGTACTTGAATAAAATAATATTGCGACTATAAATTGAGTTGTAAGCTGTCCTATCTTTCAAGTTGGGTCAAATTGCACACAATGTGCAAATCAAATTTGCAATCGGTTCACTAGTCTAAGATCCATCGCGGACAAACAACGTAACACGTAAATTTTATATATAAAGATATATCAACTAGTTAACACGTACAACTTCGTCAGCGTTATATTTTCACAATTTTGGAAACATTTTCAATACAGCTCTGCTCCTATAGTGTGAAAGTAGCCTTTCTCAACAAATGGGCTACCCAACACTAAAATAATTTTCAAAATCGGACCAGTCATATCCGAGATTATCCCAAGCTATGAGTTTGGGGTAATCCTTACCTTGCCCATTTACAATGTTAGTCCATTTAAAAGAATATTACAATATCAGTATGAATTGCTTTTAGTTGACAATTATAGGTTTGATCTAACTCGCTTTAATGGCAATGAACTGAAGAATGAAAGATAATAACATGATTTCGATAATAAACACATATTTGACGGCCTCGGTGGTCTAGCGGTTTAGCACACCTACCGAACTTCCGATGGTCGCGGGTTCGATTCCTATAGTACAACGTACAAACATTTGTATTCATGAATATAATTGTTTGTATCGCTCAGGGTGTCTTCTGTGAATATTATGTATATATTTACAAAAAAAAATGTATTTAAGTATTTATAACAGTTATGTAGTACCCACAACACAAGCTCTATTTAGCTTAGGACTAGATGGCGCTGTGTGAATGGTCAACGGATATTATTACTTGAAACTATAAATAGGATCGTTATCTTAACATGAATATGTTAACAATTAATATTAACCGTTTGAAATTACTAAAACGGTAACATTCAATAGGTTTCTAAAAGGTTGATTGAATAGTAATAAGATACTGAGTTTCACCATGAGGCCATATATATACATACATACTTATTTAATTGAAAAGGCTATTGTAAGTCTAAACTTCAAAAATATTACCTTACAAAAACTAAGATGGTTAAAGCAAGTAACTTTAAATGTAGTTTAATCATACGCAATGCAGTAGTTGTAATATTGTGTAAAATATTTTGCAGTTCCAGAAAACATTATTCAATTAACAATAGCTCGTTTTTTGTTGGGAGCATTAATTAAAACAAAACTAAGATCGTGTTACAATTATTTTATATCTTTATCATTACATAGTATAAAACAAAGTCACTATGGCTATCTGTCCGTGCCTATGTATGCTTAAATCTTTAAAACTACCCAACGGATTTTGAAACGGTTTTTTTAATAGATAGAGTGATTCAAGAGGAAGGTTTATGTGTATAATACATGTACACCCATGCGAAGCCGGGGTGGGTAGCTAGTATAGTATAAAACAAAGTCGCCGCCGGCCGCTGTCTGTTCGCTCATATCTTTTGAATTACGCAACGGATTTTAATGCTGTTTTCAGCAATAGATGGACTGATTGCAGAGGAAAGTTTATGTGTATGTTTGACGACCTCGTGATCTAGCAGTCTAGCACACCGCTTTACGTCCGATGGTCGCGGGTTTGATTCCTCGCACGTCACAAACATTTGCATTCAGGAGTATGATTGTTTGAATCGCTCTGAATGTTTTCTATGTATATTATGTATGTATTTACTAGTATGTAGTTAATTTCCGGTAAACCATCTTCAGCTGCGAATACATTACAAGTATCCCCATTTAATGAAGTCGTCCACGATGCCTTCTATTCTGCACTTCATTCTCTTATCTACTTTATATTCTACCTTATCTATTGCCCCATTAATTTCAGGCAAGTCGTCTTCAGATGCAAATAGAAAAGGGAAAAGCCACGCAGCTGACATAAATCCAAAGTCTAATTTAGCTACAAACTCCTTCTCAAATTGCGTCCTTGGAAAGTAATCTTCTACATCCATATCGAAGTATTTAAGGAAACGTATCATCGTATCGTAATATAGGTTTTTAATGTTCTCTAAATGATCTTTCCTGAATTGCTGGTCTGTTCCTAAGAATATGAAGTATATTAGGTCGGTAATAGGATTACCATATCTTATTACTTGGTAGTCAACTGGAATTATTTTTTTTATTACGCCACCCTGTAAATATACAACGAATATAATTAAAAACTTTATTCCTATCTCTTATGCTATTCATAAATGGCTAAAGCCAGTATTTATATGCTTATACTTAGCTCTAATGTTTATCTACAGCTAAAGAACTAAAGCCAGCTATTTATTAAGTTAATATTTTTCTCTACAGTCGAAAATTTCTTTATTTTTCTGTATTTCATGCTTAACCATTCCCACTTCTGTAGGCAGGTGGCAAACAATTTATTGTCGTAGTTATAAAGTATAATTTATATGACTAATAAAGTGTTTATTTTTTTGGTATAAATACTTATATAAATATCAGAATTATATTGTAAGATATACTTCTATTTTATTTTACTTTTATTTAACTAGTCTTCCAAATTTAAATCAATTTTACAATTGATGTTCTGTTGTGTATATCAGCCCATGTTAATCGTCTAAGTACTTAATACAAGGAAAAAATGTAAAAATTCTTAAATTATTCTTATTCTGTCTTAAAATCATTCAACCATACATGTACACGGTATGTCATTTAATACTATTGTCAGTAGATTATACATATTTTATTTAATTATTTTTCTGACGTTCGTGCTAATCTTATTTTTGTAAATTAATACATAATAATAAAATTAAAACTGAGATGCAATAATTTTATCTTTAGAAAGTTAAATGTAGGTCTACTTACGTCAACTTTTATTAAAATATTATTAGCTCTGTAATCCCCATGACACAAACATCCCACAGAAGTGTCCTTATAATACTGTGGAAATTTCTCCACAACAATTGGAAGAAAAGCTTCCGTTTTCTTTTTCTTATCGTCATTCAGCTCACTCATTGTTACTGGATAAATATTTTTTAAGAACGTTGTCCATTTACCTTCAAAATTGACTTGATACTTGAGAGATTTTATCTTCTCGTCAAAATAATCTGGTAGTTTCTTTTTCAATACGAATGCTAGCGAATGGAATTTTGCAAGTTGCTGCACCGATTGTTCTGCGAAATTCAATGTAATTGGATCCATTCTATTTACTGTAGTGTAACCTTGGCTTACTAAATTTTCCAATATAACAAACTCAGAGTTACTTTCTTCGTAGAACTGTGCAATGTTATATCTATCCTCAATAGGAATACCTGCTTCTTCTTGGAATTTCATATAATATCTTAACGGTTCCCTGTATACAAATAATTCATGTAAATGAAAATCTGATCCTAGAAAGAAACTGTTCTCATCATCAGGTAAGATTTCTTTTACAAAAATATCTGTTATTTTGTCTCCTTCAGCAGTTTTTCCTTTTATAGTGGCTACTACTAATTTCGTCATATAATTTGCTCCATCCTGTGGTAAAGATCGTGCATTCAATTCGTGAGTCAAGTATCCTTCTCTCTTTATAATATCTTTAACAGCTTCGTGTAATGTTGGTGAAAGTACATTAACTCCACACACACCATTTTTATTATTAACTTCACTTTTCTCGTAGTCTTGCATGTCAAAACACGGCTTATCAAATACAATAATGCGGCGGTTACTAACAGATATAGTCGCTTTATATACGGACGACGTACAGTTGACATAATTACTAACATTGACTCTTTATAATAAGGCTTTAATTCTATTTTTGCTCTGCATCATAATGTTTATTTAAATTTTATTGTATCATTTTTTTCACATAATTTAACTTGATACTTCTGAAACGTTATTGACATAGAAATTTGGTTAGTATCAGAATACTTCTGCTATAATTTTATGTTATTAAGTGTAAATAATCATGTTATACAGCGGGGAAGTGAATTGGTAGTAATGTGGACTATTGACCCTGTTATCACTACATCATATCTCCTCCACACGGTTTCCCTTGGAAACCATCATGACCATTTTTTGGAGAATTTGTCAAGGCTAACGGACCTGACTGTAGGCTCAATCATCATCCTCCACTGGTGCCTCGCCAGCGTAAACCGTTAGCTCAGGCGGATGCATCAATATCATCCATAAAATATATATTATTACATACATTGTATATATATCATTGTGTATGACAGTCTGTGATTTCATATTTTATTGCACAAAGTAGCATAGCTATTTTAATATAATTATAATGTATTTCTCTGTTGTAATTCTATTAATTACAATTTAGTAACCGTCGCATAGGTTGTTTTAATAATACCAAGCATACCTTGGTATTATATTACTGAAGAAGATAAATTTATTAATGAAGAAGACTACAAATAAACTAAGTACTAAAATTAAATAAAAGGTTAAAAAATTGTTCAAAAGTAAAAAATCAATTCTAGTTGTTTCACACTGCCAAATTGTATTAAAAAAAGTCTTAGTTTACATTTGCGCTGATGAACAGTGTGTAAATAACCTTAGGTCATTGTCCACAGAGGGATAGACTCGCAGACGCGTTACTAATCATTTGTTTGTTTTAAAAATGATACTGGCTGAACCGGCAAACGTTGTTTTGCCATATAAATTATTATCGCATTTAAAAAAAGAGGGTTTGATGATAGAAGGGGAAAATTTACAGTTGTATTTATTTTTGAATGTCGAATCATAAATAAGTTAAAAAATTATAGTCTACAATTTAAAAAAAAATCGTGGTCCTATATCATTTAGAGATATAAAAATTAATTAACTTTCTATTCTCAAACCTACTGAATATACACACAACATTTCATAAGAATCGGTCGGACAGTTTCGGAGGAGTTTCGTTCCAAATATTTTAACATGAGAATTAAAAAAATAACAGAAAGCATACGGCCCATCTGATGGTAATTGGTGACCGTAGCCTATGGACGCCTGAGACATCATGGGTACGTGCGCGTTGCCTATCCTTTAGAAACCTTAATATAGCCTTCTTGAAAAACCCCATGCTGTTGTCTAGTGAGAAAAAAACCTCGGCAGGTAATTCATTTCATAATCTAAGTGTACGCGGGAGGAAGCTCAGTGTCCGACACCACTTAGGTTCTAGCGTGTGGGGATGAATTCCCTGTCGCTGCAATGGTAAAAGTATTAAGACGTATATATTTTTGATAAAGACTGTCTACTAAATATGCTAAGTGTAGAAATGGCTTCCATTGATAAATAAACCTTCATGGTTTTTATCTCAGATGGGACAGTTAGTGACATTGTCAATTGTTAACGTGATGTTCTTATATCATCATCTTCACAACTTGACATATTCACATGTGTCTGGTAACATTTATCCGTAAGGTAATTTTTGCAATACTTTTCATTGTAGCTCCTACCCTATCGTTCGAAGCATGACATATATAGCCTAGGACCTTGGAGAAATGGGCTATCTAATAGTAAAAGAATTCTCACAATTGAATTAGTACAACCGGAGATTATCCTAAACATCCAAACTTATATTTGAATAAATCAACTAATAATTTTTAAATATAATCACATTATTTAAAAATGCAAGGACAAATCCTACAGAATCGCAATGCAAGAGTTCTACTGTTGTCCCACGATATCTTGATGACAGTGGTGTTACGCATCCATATAGCCGTCGGTTACCACTTACCACCAAATTGACTGTTAGTATTTTTACCATTCCATTTACATAAAATTGAATATATGAGGTTATAGTTTTTATTGATGATGCGATAAGTATTTAAATATATACAACTGTAAGTCTGAGTATCAATTTAATCTACATTAGCTCAGCAAATATGAACAGTAACACAAGAACATATTGTCAACACACTCATTCCAAGGACATAGACAATGACATCAAAACAGCATTCAAATTTAAAGTCAAAAGAGAGACGAATTTATTAGCATTCCGTGGAATCACCGCGTAGGAGCCGGGTCCATCGTGTGGCAGGGAAGCTCCAAGCAGTTCCTGGGACTTGTGACCCGGGTGTAGGTTTATGGGGACCCTTACGACGTATGTCAACACTCACCTTCACCGCTCGTGTTTCTTCCTGCTCAGCCAAATCTGGTAGAAGCCTGCTAGTGCAGCTTTAGATACACGTTTTAGTATAAATCTCACTAGAGTTTTAGACAGGCCAAGATCTTTAAGAAGATTGAAGAGCGATTTCGGTGGTAAGTCTCTCACTCGCACTTGAACCGAATAAATATAAATCACTCAGCCATTTTTCGATATTTTGCTTATTACTTTGTAATATTTATTTGTCTTGTATTTATGTATATTTGTTTCTCATGGTACAATGAAATCTACATACATATATCTAAACATTTAGTTTTATTTTTAAAAAGGAATATGTTAATTTATATACTGTAAATAAAATTTCATGAAAGAATACTATTTGTTTATATAATAAGAATAACAAATGACAATTGACATAGCGCCACCTAGTCTCGAACTAAACAAGTCTTGTGCGATTGGTTTTAAACAACTCATTTAAATAATTTATTTTAATACAAAAATAAACAAGTTAGATCGTATCAACGAAGAAGGACATATATAGGTAAACTAAAATCTGACGAAGTCGTAGGAAAACAGCTGATAACATGAATATTATAATCTAAATATATATAACTCAAAGGTGACTGACGTAGTGATCTATCAACGCACAGCCCAAACGACTGGACGGGTCGGGCTGAAATTTGCCATGCAGGTAGATATTATGACGTAGGCAACCGCTAAGAAAGGATTTTGATTAATTCTATCCCCAAAGGGATAAAATAGGGGACGAAAGTTTGTATGAAACTTTGTCAATTTTAAACCGATCGGGCTGAGACTTTGCATGCATAAAGTTACTATGACATAAGCATTCCCTAAGAAAGGATTTTGATAAATTCCACCCCTAAGGTGATAAATTGACGCGACCAAAGCCGCGGGCAAAAGCTAGTATTTATATAAAGCTATTATAAATAGCTATATTTTTACGTAATGAACACTGGCCGAAAATCTTCCACTCTGTATAATTGTGTGCATAGTATAATTATCGTGTATTTACTGCAATCTCTATGAACACGTTAATAATGTAACTAATAAGTATTTAATCTTTATAAAAATAAAAATCACGATGATAAATTTGAAACGTAATGGACTGTTATCATACTGTAAGTCATTTTAGAGTGCCGTAGCTTAGTGAATTACTACATAGATTTCGATTAAAAGGCCATCAGTTCGAATCTGATCGATACCATACAAAAACTGTGTGTCAATTTGTAGTTCTAAATTGAAAAGAATCTAGTTTTGGTATTTTTCTAAGTATATTATCGGAACCTCAATCATAACTTCTAACAGTTTTAATTTTTAAGTTAAAAATTCGACTCAGGAACTGATGTCTATAGAGTGAGAGTAATAGATATCTTTGGAATAGTTTAGAAGTAATATGAATGTACTATTTTAACATTTACACTATTCTGATCTTAATTTCCTAAATAAATAAAGAAAAAAATATATAGTTCAGATTATCCAATGATGGAGACATTGAAAACCAATTTAAATCGAGATACTTCAAGAGAAATCAACCCCCTATGAGGTTTGATTTTTTAAATGTTGCATTATTTAAACGTAGTGCGAGAAATCGAACGCACGACCATCGTAACTGAGGTGATATACTAAACTACTACCAAGGCTGTCAAATTATATTTGCTAGTAATAAATCAAGAAACAGATAAGATCAAAATGATGATAATCAAACCGTGATCCTTTATTCTTATGTCATCATTAACAAAAACCTATACATGTAACAGTTTATTAATATAAACCTTGTCTTAACAATTTACTGATTTCATTACAAGTATCCCCATTTAATAAAGTCGTCCACGATGCCTTCTAATCTGTACTTCATTCTCTTATCCACGTTGTAGTCTACCTTGTCTACTGCTCCATTAATTTCGGGTAAATCATCTTCGGCTGCGAATACAAAAGGTAGAAGCCATGTAGCTGTCATAAATCCAAAATCTAACTTCGCTGCGAACTCCTTCTCAAATTGCGCCCTTGGAAAGTAATCTTCCACATCCATATCGAAGTATTTCAGGAAACGTGCCATCGTGTCGTGATATAGATTTTTAATGTTCTCTAAATGATCTTTCCTGAATTGTTGGTCCGTTCCTAAGAATATGAAGTATATTAGGTCGGTAATAGGATTGCCATATCGTATTGCTTGGTAATCGACTGGAATAATTTTCGTTATTTTGCCATCCTGAAAACACATAATGAAAATTAAATTATTTTTTTTAGCTATACGTTAATTGTTTACGTTTTTATTCTTATTCTACGATCAGATTTCCACAATACAGGCATAGCCTATTGCACCAAATTGATAGTATTGATAGTCAAATGATTCAAAATAAAAGATTTTCTTATTCTTCTTAAATAGACTTTAGAGCAAATTATTGTTCACAGTGAAAATAATCGATTTCTGAACAGTCACAAGTATTTATTATTTTTATCTTTCTTCCACAGTTCATTTTTTCAAGTTTCCATAACCAGGTTACAAACTATTTCTTTTCTATATTCTATATATGTACTGACATAGTCGATAAGTAATTTACTAAAAAAATATGAATGAGTATCAAATATGAAGAAATAAATAAATAGCATTCTGTGTCTAAAAATATATTTGGCTTGTCTTCAAAATACAAAAAATCAAGTCAAGTCATTTTCTCTAAACTTATATAATGGATTATAAGCGTATTTAATGCGATAACTTTTCATATTATATAAATATATATTATATAAATTCATAGTTGCGATAACTTTTCATTTAAAGCAAAGAAGATAAGCGTAGAAAATGCTCTTAAAAATGAATATTTAAGAAATATAGTCATTACATTAATGTAGTTCATTATTTTCGTTTTATCAATGAAGTGATAATAGTTAGGTCATGTTAATATGCCCAGGTAATAATATTCTTGACAACTGCATTTAATTGCCCCAATTTATGGGCATTCATATTTTTAATATGTTATAATTAAAAAATAATATCTATAATATTCTATGATATTGCAAATAGATCAAATTTAAAGCTTAGATGCTGTAAGTTCATCTTTAAAGAGTTAAGTATACTTACGTCATTTTTCAACAAAATATTATTAGCTCTATAATCCCCGTGGCACAAACATTCCACAGATTTGTCCTGATAATACTGCGGAAATCTTTCCAAAAAAATTGGAAGAAAAGCATCCGTTTTCTTTCTGATATCACTACTTAGCTCTTGCGTTGATGCTGAAAAAATGTTTTTTATGAACGTTTTCCATTTGTCCCCAAAATCAACTTTAAATTCCAGAGATCTTATCTTCTTGTCAAAATAATCTGGGTGTTTGTTTTTCAATACGAATGCTAGCGAATGGAATTTTGCAAGTTGCTTCACCGATTGTTCTGCGAAATTCAATGTAATTGGATCCATTCTATTTACTGAAGTGTAGCCTTGGCTTACTAAATTTTCTAATATAATAAACTGCGAGTTACTTTCTTCGTAGAACTTTGTAATATTATATCTATCCTCAATAGGAATACCTGCTTCTTCTTGCAATTTTTTGTAATATCTTAATGGCTCCCTGTATACAAATAATTCCATTGAATGGAATTCTGATGCTAGAAAGAAACCGTTCTCATCATCAGGTAAGATTTCTTTTACAAAAATATCTGTTACTTTGTCTCCTTCAGCAGTTTTTCCCTTTATGTTGGCTACAACCAACTTTGTCATATAGTTTGCTCCATCCTGTGGTAGAGATCGTGCATTCAATACGTGGGTCACGTATCCTTCTCTCTTTATAATATCCTTAACAGCTTTGTGTAACGTCGGTGTAAGCACATCTTCTGGACACACACCATTTTTATCATTTTTAATATTAACTTCACTGTTCTTGTGGTCTTCCATTTCAAAACACGGCTTATCAAATATAATAATATGACATTAATTAACAGATATACTCGCTTTATATACGAACGATATACTGTTGATATAATTAATGACATTGGCCTTTTATAATAAGGCATTTTTTTCTGCGTCATTATATTTATTTAATTTTTACTGAATCATTCTTTTTACAGATTTTAACTTGATACCTAAATATATTGACTTTGAAATTTAATTATTGTAATTATTGATATACCATATTCTTTGGTTTACCATATATAATTTATACAGTGCTATGGTAATATTCTGCGTTACGGCCGCAGTGGTTTAACAGTTTAGAATACCACCTTAATTCTGATGGTAACAGGTTCAATTTCTCGCACGGTACAAACATTTCGAATTTATAATTATAATTGTTTTTATCGATCTATATAGATTAAATGTATAGATATATTTATGTCAGTTGTCTCTCTTACGCACAATGGCCCGAATGAGAGGCTAATTGCGGAGACTGGAGTCCAACATACATCAGTTGTCTCCAATAATACAAGCTTACTAAAGTTACTACAATTCTCACAGCGCCATCTAGTCCCACTAGATGGCGCTGTGAGAATTGTAGTAACTTAAATGGCAATAGTTATTTATGGACGCGATTTTCATTTACTTAGACTATTAGATTCCGTCGACCCGTAACCAAGATATTTGTAAAAGCAACGAAGCTTATACAATGTTATGGATAAACTTTAATTTGCGTTAAAGGTATACACACAAGGCACAGTAATATAAAGTAAAAAAAAACGAAAATACACAACTAAATACTTTAAATTACGGTCAATTAACAAAATATGTACAAAAACGTGTGAGTAGTATGTGTGCATCGCCCAGACACAAAAAAATGGTTTCTCCTTTATCATATTGCATTATGACTGGATGTCCATTATTGTCCATAGTGTCATTAATATATACCTGTATAGATGATGATTACCCCTTACCAACAGCTGGTTTATTTCTCATTATCATTTCCCATTGGAAAGTGCCAACTGTTGCTTATATACTTACATGAATAATATCATAGGGTTGGCCGAGCTTTGTTAGTAATGTGAACTAATGACCCCATTATTAGCTACATACTATGTCAGGTAAACCTCCACGCGGTTTCGTCTGGAAAACATCATCTGCTTCTTCCTTATCCCTTCTAAGTGGGGCCGGCATAATATATTTTTCACTTTCACTTCATCCCTCTTCGCAGTAATCTCCTTATTTACTCCCTTTCTTACCATATCATCTTTCACACAGTCCATCCTTCTCTTTTTCGGCCTTCCTCTGCTCTTAAAACTATCTACATTCATATGTAGCACCTTCCGTAAATTATTATCTTCATTATTCATTATATTCGCATACCACGACAGACGATTACTCTTCAACCTCTCCGACACCGGCGCCACTTTTATGCTTCCTCAAATGTATTTGTTCTTTATCTTATCTATTCTTTCTGTCTGGAAACCTGCCTGATAAATTTATGATGATGAGCTAACTGACCTGACCTCATGCTCATCTTATCATCCTCTACTGCCCCGCCAGCGTAAACCGTTAGCGCAAGCGTGTTCTGCACTCGTTCAATATGTAAAGTATAAGTGTTCGAAAATTCATACTCCTGCGTCCCTAATTTTCCTAAAACTCAGCACAGTTTTTGCATCACGTATTAATTATATATATATATATATCTTTATACAAATGAGTTGTCTAGTATCCATAACACAAGCTCAGCTCAGATTAGAACTATATGATTCTGAAAATAATAAAGATATTTCCGGAATACCTATTTTTCCTCATAACAAAATCTACTTTCTACTCAACTACTGAACCGCAGTAGTAGTAGTTGAGTAGAAAGTAGATTTTGTTTAATCTTAACTATGATTTGACGTGAAGATGGCTTATAACACAGTGACCGATATAGGGTAACTTTTATCTCAAAAAATCAGAGAGTCGCAGGTTATATACCTGTTATAATATATAATATAAATATAATATATATTATAATACATGTTACAATACAGTATAGTATACTGTATTGTAACATAACTGAGTATACAATACAGTATGGTACAATAATTCTGTGCACCTGTTATGATTTTATATAATGAACACTGGCTGAAAATCTTCCACTCTGTATAATCGTGTGCAGTATATGTATGTAGTATAATTACTGCGTATTTACTGCAATCTCTATAAACACGTTAATAATGTAACTAATAAGTATTTATTTTGTATAAAAATGAATATCATGCTGATGGCTTTGATACATAATGAACTGTTATCAATTATCATACTACACGTGTAAATATATATATAATTAATTATATAATAGTTATATCTTAGATATATATAAAATTCTCTAGTCACAATATTAGTTAGATACCATACTCCTCCGAAACGGCTTGACCGATTTTTATGAAATTTTATAGGCATATTCAGTAGGTCTGAGAAGCAGCTACTATCTATTTTTCATGCACCTAAGTGATAAGGGACTTTTTTATTTTTTCGACATAATATTTTATTTCTTTTTATTATGATTGTCGGTTGTACATTATTATACAAACGAAAATCATGATGATAACATTGGTATCTAATAAGTAATTATCATATCAGACATACAATTTTAAATGTTCATTGTAGTATGTAATATTATGTTATCTGTGATTGTAGTATAGTACAATGTAACACAATGCCTAATAGATAATAAAAGGTAGTATCATCTATAACAGGTAGCGCATGAGTTTTGTTTCCGTGACAAGCAGTTTGAATACATCTGCAATTTTCATTACAAACCGTTTTGTCATTATGATTGTATTTCCAGTACGACTCGAACTATAATTGCATGATTAGACCTTGGTATACTTGTGAATATAATATATATTATTATATCTATCTATACCTATACTAATAGTATAAAGCGCAAGAGTTTATTTGTTTGAACGCGCTAATCTCAGAAACTACTGGTTCAAATTGAAGAAATATTTTTATGTTGGATAGTCCATTTGTCGATACGATACGAGCAATAAGAGCGGAGCTGCAATGAAGAATATTTCAAAATGTGGAGAAATGAAAGGCAGACGAAATTGCGCGGGCGATATAGTAGATTATAAAAGGTAGTATCATGTATAATAGCTAGCTGCGCATGAGTTTTGTACCCATGATAGGCAGTTTGAAGAATGCATCTGGAATTATCATAACCGTTTTATCTTTATGATTGTACTGTCAGCACGACTCGAACTTCCATTGCATGATTTGTACTTGATATACTTATTACTATACCAATTAATAAATCTTCTTAGGTGCCATTTTCTATGATGGTTGACGATCTTTATTTTGTCCACTATTGTTCATGTATATAGGCGTATAGTTCATGTATATAATACTGATCACATCACACAGACTAATATTTTTGCCTAGTTGCGGTCTATACGCATATACGTATAATAATTATAGTGCGTAATGGAAATGCATAAGATGTAACAAGAACTTCAACTGATAGTCTTCGATAGTCCACTTCCAGATGGACTTATGACACAAAATATTTAAAACAAAAGAAAACAATTATAATATAGAAATGTATATTTATTAAGATTTGTTTTGTATACATTTAATAATATGTTAGTATGTAGTCTTAAATTCACAGATACAACAACTTTTCGATCATTCAACAATCGATGTTGGTCTTGGAAAAAAATCCATAAGATATTAATAACATCTATGTCCGAAATGTTCTTCTAATATTAAAGATATATTAAAGATAACCCCACTGAGTAAAATCTTCTATTATACCATCTAATCTACTTTTCAATCTTGGATCAACTTTGAATATTTCTGGAGAAGCTTTAGAAAAATCGGGTATATCATCACTGGCTGCAAAAGATAAAGGTAAGAAACATATTCCTATAATAAGACCGTAAGTTAGGGAATCTTTATATAACTGTTCGTATATTTTTCTTGGGAAATGATCCTCTACATCCATTTCAAAGTATCCAAGAAAAGTTTTTATCGTGTCATAATACAGGTTCTTGATGGTTTCTAAGTGGTTCCTCCTGAACGGTTGGTCTGTTGCCGAAAATATGAAATACATTATATCCATCAATGGGTTTCCATAGAATGACATTTGGTAGTCAATAAAAACAACTTCAGATACTTCATTACCCTGTAGAATAAAAGATATCAATATATTATTACATTTATTGAAAATGCAGCTGCCATTTACAGGTTCATCGGAAAAACATGGGACTGAATGTGCAAAAGGCACTTCAAAAGCTTGAACCAGCTGAAGGCCAACTCTTGCTTGACGGGTACCATAAAAAAATATTTATTTATGACCAATTAATATTCATTTTAATTTGTAACTGTCAGATTTGCTGGATCTATGAATGAACCAGGTTATTATCGTCAGAAACAGCATTTACTGGATCTTTGAATGAACCAATTCATCATCGTCAGGAACTGCAACTCCCTAAAAAGATGCAGTTTGGGGCCTTAGGGCGAGTCCCTTTGGCCCGGCATCAACTGATAAAGTGGGTTTAATAATCCTGAACGGCAATCTTCACAATGACACATTTTAAGAAAGAAAACTATGAAATATATATATTTCGGAAATCAGCTCCGTACGAAAATGCAGATATATCAAAATTCGTAAATAAAAGTATCGAAATAAACACTGCTCAGTATAAAAAACAAAGTAAACTCTAATCAACCACAATACGAATTGCTTAAATTTTTAGTAATATATGCGTATAATGTATATAGCAAATACAGTTAAAATCAGAATTAACTCACGTTTATTTTTTTCAGAATATTTGTACTTTTCAAATCTCCATGGCATAGGCATCCTATAGACGTGTCCAACATATGCCGCTTCAAGGTCTCGCCAATTGTTGCTATAAATGTTTCTGTCTTCTTTTTCATATCATTGTTTAAACATTCTGTAGAAATGTTACAAAAGTTTTTCATACAGTTTTCCAATGCCGTATTGAACTGTACTGGAGTCCTAAGAGGCTTTATTTTACTGTCAAAGTATTGTGGCCTTTTATTTTTTAAAACTAATGACAAAGCATGGAGTCTCGCCATCTGCTGAATTGTTAACTTCGCAAAACTAAATGAGACAGGATCCATCCTGTCCGGTGTTACAAAACCGTTTCTTGACAAATTTTCCAAAATTATAAACTCAGAGTTACTCTCCTCATAACATTTTGCCATTTTGTATCTTTCATTTACAGGGATTTTAGCTTCATCTTGTAGTTTCGTAAACATCTTTGACAGTTCATTGTAAAAAAACAATTCTCTTGAATGGATATTAGATAGTGAAAAGAATTCCAAATGATCACCTTGTAAAATATTTTTCACAATTATATTAGTTTCTTTATCACCGTCAACAGTTTGTCCCTTTATTTCGACCCTTACTAGCGTTGCTAAATAATTACCACCACTTTGTGGTAAATCACCTATGTTTAATTTGTAAGTAACATATTCCTCCCGTTTTACAATATCTCTTATTGCTTCTTTTAGACTGCCAGAGATAGAATTTTCGTCGCAGTTGTGTATATCACTGAAGACTTTCATTTTGTACAATATGGTTAACAATGATGTGTTTAGCAAAATCATCCTAATTTATATCATATGTACGACGATTTAATATCTTAGTTTAAGAGTCTAATAAAACAATTGTAATCTTAATAGATAAATAAAGTTAATTTCTTAATTGACTATGTAATAAGGAATAAAACGTAAAATTACTTTCAATAATATAAAGTATTGCATCTTTTGCTGTTTCAATAGCTAACAGACAAAAGAGTGCTATCAAAAATGTATAAACAGCATAACTCGTACCCAATTCCAAAATAAATAGTCTATTCTTCTCGTACACTCAGTCTATATCATTCATTTCCTTAGAGAGATGAATGGTAAATGGTGAAATAAGAATTCCATTATTTATAACTGTAATACAGCAACTTTGTACAAGTAGCAACTTCCAAATTATTATTTATTACTCCACTTAGTCGACTCATAATAATTGTGGAATAATTCCACAGAATAATTTTGAGTTCTTTGATGCTATTTATAATATTGAAATTTATGTTATTCCATTATTTTGTTAATTATAGATTCTAAAACTGAACGAAATTCTACTTTAGACTGAAATTGTAAGGTATGATACATTAAAAAAACAATGATGCCGCTAGTCCCCATAGCCCCCTCCCCCCAGTATAATTGTCTGTAGCGTTGCCAGACGTCCCGTACTTCCCGGGACGTCTCGTATTTTAGGCTTAGTTTAAAATGTCCCGGCGGAACTGACTCTGTCCCATATTCAAATCGTGCTCCGTTTTTTTTATTATTAGATCGATTGATCTACGCCCCGCCGTTGTCCTGTGTAAAAAACGAAATTTCGGTATTTTTTGCCTATTTAAACGTTTGCCCCTTATAGGCTGAAAAAAAATCTAACAACTCTAATTGTCGGTCAGCATCGAACTCCACCTTTGAGATTGATATTAAAGTAAACCTACGATGCTCCTGTTATAGGTAGTAAAAATTCAAAATATTTGTAGAAAATTATTATTTATTTATTGAAATTTTACTGCGGTCCCGTTCTTCGTTATTGCATCATTATGGCGCCAAACCACCTTTTTAAGTGACCGCCGCCATATTACTAATACATGTGATCAATTTTGCGTTTAGTAACGCCATCCACGCCATCCACGCGAGGTTGTTCGAGGGAAATGTAAATAGTGATTAGAGTGAGACAGCATATACGCGAATTTCATAGTCAAGATCGTAACAAATATGTTTAGTCACTTTAGTATATATTGAATCAATTGTAATGCCACGTTTTGTTTAATCATCAATCTGTTTATCTTTTTTATCACGTCAATTAAAGATAAGAAATAAGCTGTGACTACTCTGTAACGAATTGAGTTTGCACAATAATGGATCGTCAGGTATGTATTACATTTATTAAAAAAGTGAGGTTATGTCAAATAAATTCTGTAATAGTTGTAATATTATATCATAATTATAAATGTCTACTATACTATATTGTCTACACATATGATCGCTAAAACTATGGCCAATGCACAGAGTAGATTACGCAGATTTATTTGATGCTCTGTGGTTAACCACAGATGCCCAAAATTATTTTTTTAATTTGATCTACTATGTTTCTTCTATTTGAAAATAGAACCTTAGTACCTATTTGAAACTTAAAATTTATATGTGTGTGTGAAACGCGTATTTTTTTTTTATGCGTATTATTTTAATGTAAATGCACTATTATAAGAAATCATATTTGCTTTTTGCACTTGTCCATATAAACTTTAACTATAAAAGAGATATATTTTCTTGCTTCAAGTAATAATATTAATATTATAACTTTAGATTTTTTATTAATTGAGTTATTGCTAGTGTTAAACGGCCAAAAATGACATTGCAATAATCGGTATGTACTTAAAAAGTGAAGTTATGTTATTTTATTGTTGGCAAGTAACATTAACTACATATATCACACACTTAATATTAAAATGCATTAAGATAAAATTATAAATTCTGGAAAAATAACACTAGAGTTATTAGCAATAAAGTCTATTTCCCAAAAAAATAATATTTGAGTTAGTAGTATTTAGTATTAAGAATGCGATAAGACACGTGTATCGTTATCTGTAATTACATAATATTATTATAATAGACACTTATTATCACAATATTTATTGTATAATCATCCTCTGTTATACTTTTTATTGTTATATTACGAGAAGTGATATAAAAAAATAATTCCCGTCGCAGTAGTATGCAGAGCACATCAATACCTATAAAATATTAGTAGGACCAAGGTAGGAATTTCTTCTGCGAATGGTACCTCAGTCTCACCAATTTTAGCCGCTAAGTACGTAGCTTGCTTTATAAGTAATGTTTTTTTTTAAAGGTAAGGCGAGCCAGGAATGGATAGGCTAGGGTTATAAATAGTATATTTCATCAAATTAACTGTTATTCGGCAAAAGTTCATTTCATTACTTAATAGATTTATATTATTTTGTTTAATTCCACTACCATTGGCATGTGTGAGACCACAAATATTCAGTGCGGAAAACTGACCACCGCTACTGGAAGTGTTGTACCCTTCTTCCTTCTCTATTTGACTTTTCTAAATTGATTATCGTAACCCATCCAGTACGGGTGATAAGTCCGTACTTAATGTTTGTAGTCTCACACATGCTAATGGTAGCGGCATTAAACAAAATATATATATATATATTTTTTTTTTCTCTTGACATTTCACACAGCGCCATCTAGTCCCAAGTTAAGCTAGCTAAAGCTTGTGTTACGGGTACTAGATAACTGATACAATTACATAGTTTTTTTTTCGTAAATACATACTTATTATACATAGAAAACAACCAGACCGACACAAACAATTATACTCATGAATACAAATGTTTGTGCCGTGCGAGGAATAGAACCTGCGACCATCGGACGTAAAGCGGTGTGCTAGACCGCTAGACCACCGAGGTCGTCACACGGCCACGTTGCTGTGACTACAGCAACACGTGGCCGAGTTGGTTGGCTGGTTGGTTCTTGAATAAAATAATATTGCCACGATAATTAGATAATTAAAGATGTAGCTATTCTATCTTTCAATTTGAATTAAATTGCACATAATGTATAAATCAAATTTGCAATCGGTTCCTAAGTTTAGGAGTCTATCGCAGACAAACAATTTAACATATGTAAAGATGTTTTTCATGTATATAATAATAACTAGGATTCTATAAATTTTATGTCTCTATCTGTAAGAAATAAGCCATTTGTAACCGAAACAACAATAGTTTGTTTTTGTTTTGATTATCACCTAACTAACAACTGGTAATTTAGAAAACCCTATACTATTTAATAACATTGTGCAATATGATAAGACATATCAATTTTATACAATTGCGATAGTATCCAATATTGATACGGGAATTAATGAAGATTTCGCTCGTGTAAAAGATTAGTTGTGTAATATCTAATCACTTCAAAAAAAAGGTCTAATTGCATCTCTAATTATTATTAATATAATACTAGCTGTGACCGCATTATCATCCGCTTGAAATTTATAGCCACTGCTATTCTGATGTACAAACTATATTATTGTAAAGCTTCATTAAAAACCATTCAGTAGTTTTTGAGTGAAAGAGTAACAAACATCCATCCACACGCACAAACTTTCGCGTTTATAATATTAGTAAGAATATCGCAAATTATGCAGTATTGTATACAATTAAAGGAGCTGATCTTTAGCTACTCTATGAGTATGACCTCATGCTTATTTGCAGTGCTACCTGCACTCGCCCTCTATCGTTTGTCGAAGCTATAAAGACCAGCTGCAGCCATCAGCATTAGAATAGTTCGAAAAGAAATGTACTTGTATTTTTTACTAATATTTTATATAAATTCAATTTTCAGAAAATAAACATAACTGAGGTATCTGACACACCGATAAACCCGAATATTGTAAAATCTGTTAGAAAAATAATAGAAAATGAAGGTTATCTAGAATGCGAAGCCAACATAAAGGTGATAAAACCAAATGGCGGTGTACTTATGAGTGTATTTCATGAAGTCGATGTAGTGGGAAAAACTGTAAATGGTGATGATACTCTAAACCTCTTCATCAAAATGATATTGCCTAATCAACAACTAACTATCTACAATTCAGCGGACTCATTTGTAAAAGAGGCATATGTTTACAATGAACTATTAGACATTCTTGCCAACGTACAGGATGAGGCTAAAGTACCTATGGAAGAAAGATTAACCACAGCTAAAGGTTACAATGAAACCAACAATGAATATATCGTAATGGAGAATTTAAATAAAAGAGGATTTATAACCATAGACAAATCTGAAATTGTTAGCTATGAATACGCCGCAGCATCAATGAAAGTACTAGCAAAGTTTCATGCCCTCTCACTAGTTTTAAAAGAAAAGAGGTCGGATTATTTCAATGAGAAGATTGTAAAATTGAAACAGCCATTTTATTATGGAACCAAAGCATGGAATGGCTTCGTTGGTAATACAAGCAGACTTGCTGCATTTTGTTTAGATGACGATGCTAAAGATAGAATTGAGAAGTATATTCCAAAAACCTTTGAGAAATATGCGAAGTATGCAGAAGATCCAAATATGGTGAGATGTATAGTTCATGGCGATTTTAGACCCGCTAATGTAATGGTCAAAATAGAGGTAATTTCATATTAATTTTCCTATAGCTGTATCTCTGTCAAAATTTACTAGTACTTTTTTACATTCTCGTGTCACAGTATTGGTAACAAAACTCCACCGAAACGGGTTGACAGATTCCTACGAAATTTTGTGTATATATTAGTAGATCTGAGAATCGAACGTAAACTATTTTTCATACTCCTTAATAATCCCTCATCTGGTCATCCTTAAATTTTTTTTTATTTTTTGAAGATATTAATTGATATTTATGATTCGTCATTAAAATAATAAATTAAACCCAAAATTTTCACCCTTCTACCATCAACCCCTATTATACCCCTATTATTTAATAGCAATATTAATGTATATGGCGAAACAACGTTTGCTAGTTACACTATTATGTCAATTTAGAAAATACATGTGTAAGCGACGCGTTCTGTGCCTTAAAAAACAAAATAATTAAAATGATGTTTGTCTATGTTATTGTCTCTGCATGCGGTGTCGTAGTCGTTTTCAAAAAAACTTATAACCGGCGCAACAGACGCCACGCAGTCTGCACCTAGATGCGATCGACACCGCACGTCATATCTCTAATTAACATTATAAAATTTATGTGTCGAAAATAAATCCAATTGTCTTAAAAGTCTTCGTTTGCCATCACCGTGACCTACCATATTTTATACCATACATTTGGTCATTCGGCCGGATTTATGTACCGCACACCACCAGCGCACAAAATGGTAGGCACCCGAAGTACTGCACGCAATAAGGACTGCATGCAGACGGAGCAGCATCCTGGTTCTGAACAGTATCAAGATACGCCACGGCCGAGTAATATGAAGCCTACAGAAGAGAAGACGGTGACCGTTATGAGCACAAATTCAAAAGCGGGTACTTGTAAAGAAGAATGCCAACCGTCGACGCCCGTTACAACGAAGCGTGCAAAGTCCACGAAGTCTTCGTATTCATCTGTACTGGCACGTAAAAAGCAGTTAGAACTCGATGCTGCACAGAAGAAAGCTAAAATTCAAATGGAATTAATTGACAAACAATTGGAAGCAGACCTAGCTGATTTAGAAGCAGAATACAGTCCAGACCTAGAGGATAATCGCACCAACATTAATAGTAATGTGGAGAGGTGGGTCGAACACAGCCAGCAAGAATTGGAAAACACACAGTTTGCCCACGATCATGGTTTTCAACAGGGTGACACGTGTCCGCCAGCAATAGATTCTGGCACTAATGGTACTACAGTTCAGATGCTAGCAAGCGCTCTAAAGAACATGGCCGCCGCCTCTGCGAATAGCAACTCGAATGCTAAATTATTGTCTCGATTGAGCACGCCGAAGGATTTGCCATACTACTCAGGGGACCCCATGGAATGGCTGCAATTTAAACAGGCCTATGAAGAATCGACTGAAGTCTGCAACTTCAATCCGAAGGAAAATTTATGGCGTTTACGGAAATGTCTACGTGGAGCCGCAAAGGAAGCGGTATCAGCTTTACTCATCAGCGCCGTAACTCCTGATAAATTAATGGCGACACTGGAACTAAGGTTCGGTAATCCAGATATAATTATATCACGCTTGATACAAGAATTAAAAAAGTTACATCCAGTGTCACAAGAATATCAAAAGGACATAGTGTACTTTGCTGTGAAAGTGCAGAATTTCGTGGAAGCAACACGAGCCGTCGGCCGCCAGGAATATTTACAAGTGTTTACTGTCAAGTCATGAGCGCGAAACATGTCCGGCGCCCGCCTGCGATAAAGATGGCTGCGGCGGAGCGCACCACCGGCTTCTGCACTACCCCGTACCCACCGGGTGCAGGACTAGCAACGTCACCGCCGAACAAGTGAACGAATGTCCACCCGTGAGTGAAACTGTGACCCATATTAACGTAAATAATCAACAAGTGTTATTAAAAGTAGTGCCGGTAAAAATTCGTGGACCATACGGTGTTATTAATACCACCGCCTTACTTGATGACGGTTCAACTGTGTCGCTCATAGCTACCGATCTCGCTAACCGCGCGGGACTGAGCGGCCCCAGCGACACATTACGTATGTGTGGTGCATGGAATAATTCTGTAAATTTATGTAACACTACTGTTGTAACCTTTGATATTTTCTCTGTAAATTCATATGATAATAATGATGTGTATACTGTAAAAGCTCGTACCATAAATAATTTAGATTTGCCTATACAAGATTTATCTACTGTTAATTACAACTTGTATAAAAATTTGCGTAAAATTAAAAATGAATTGTGTATAAAAAAATTGAAACCTGAAGTACTATTAGGGCAGGATAATTATCATTTGTTAATTCCTTTGCAAACTAGTTTAGGTAATAAGAATGAACCCGTCGCTACACGCACTCCCTTAGGTTGGTGTATACATGGTTGTTTAGGTATACCGGAACATAAACAATCGTCCCACTCGACCCTCCTTATCTCTGAGTTACACAGCTTACCAGTCGACGAGAGCGAGCGCATGTTACGAGACATCCATGACGAGGTGCGACGGTCATTCACCATCGAGTCCATGGGAGTGTCAGGTAAGCCACGGGAGAATGCTGATGATATCCGTGCCCTGACAGTGATGGAGCAAACTGCTACACTCATCAACGGCAGGTGGGAGGTTGGGCTACCATGGAAAGATGAAAGCTGCAGGATGCCAAATAGCTTCCCTAACGCTGTACGCAGATTAAAAGGTATAGAAAAGAAAATTATGTTAAATACGGAATATGGTAACAGGTATGTCGAACGTGTTAATCATTTATTACAAAATGATTATGCCAGAGAGTTGGAAGATTGCAGTGTCTCGCCACGGACATGGTACTTACCACATTTTGGGGTAGACAACCCAAATAAAAAAAAACTACGTCTGGTCTTCGATGCCGCAGCTAGCACAAATGGTTTGTCATTAAATGACTATCTACTGAAGGGGCCGGACCTACTTACATCTCTGTTCGGCATTATGGTAAGATTTAGGGAGAACAGAGTAGCGGTGACCGGCGATATAAAAGATATGTTTTTAAGGATAAAGGTAAGAGAAGAAGACCAGAACGCACTCAGATTTCTGTGGAGAAGCAGTCCTGCAGAACATGAAAAAACGTACGTGATGACGTCATTAATATTTGGCGCGAAATGTTCACCGTTCATAGCTCAATTTATTAAGAATAAAAACGCACTAAGGTATGAGTCATCGATGCCAAACGCCGTAGCAGCGATATGTAATCAACATTATATGGATGACTACATAGACAGTTTGCCAGACGAGGCCGCCGCCATAACAATGGTACGTAATATTAGTAAAATTCACAAATCAGGTGGTTTTCATATTTGTAATTGGACTAGCAACAGTCCAGCCGTATTGGATAGTATTCCAAAGGAGTCCTTAGGTACTACGGCCGTAAAGTTCAAAATAGATCAAGAATGCGAAGGTGAACGTACGCTCGGATTGATATGGTACCCGCGCGAAGACGAGTTGGGGTTCGATGTGTCTCTCAAGCGCATACCACATGACATAATTAATGGTAAGAATAGACCAACAAAAAGAGTTATGCTCAGAGTCATAATGTCAATATTCGATGTATTTGGATTCTTATCGCCATTTTCTATACAAGGTAAAATAATGTTGCAAGATACCTGGCGCGCTGGAATCAGCTGGGACGACTTAGTAACAGATGACATACATAAAAAATGGTGTCAGTGGGTCAATGTACTAACGAGTGAAATAAAAAATATCCGTCTGCCGAGGTGGTATCAAGCAGCGACGAGTGGGAGCGAGTCAGCGATAAAACGTAGCACATCAGTTCAGGTAAACATAACCTCTCTCACCTCTCTTACATCTACAAGCGTAACCGAACGGGCTATCGGCTACGAAACTGGCGTAGCTAATAGCTGCGCTACGACATCCCGCTGCAATGACGTAGTGACAGGCGCTACGAAACAGGTTTTGGCTGGAAGTGAATATAGTAATTTAGAGTTACACTTGTGTTGCGATGCGTCGACTAAAGCAATGTGCGCAGTCGCATACTGGCGATGGTACGTAAATAAAGATATATGTATGTCATTCATAGCTAGCAAGTGCCGTGTCGCGCCCGTGAGTCATACTACCGTGCCGCGTTTGGAATTGCAAGCTGCTTTATTGGCTGCGAGGTTGGCAGATACAATAATCAGAGAACACAAAATAAATCCAGTAAGGCGTTATTTTTGGTGCGACTCTAGTACCGTGCTACACTGGATATGTAATAATACACGTAGCTATAAAACGTACATAGCAAACCGGCTGGGTGAAATAGACGAGCTAAGCCGCCCTGAGGAGTGGCGGTATGTACCTACAAAATTAAATGTTGCTGATCTCGCTACGAGAGAAAATTACGACGATTCTCTTTTTAAAAATGAATGGTTTAGAGGTCCGTCATTCTTATACAGCGATGAGTCATCGTGGCCGGTGAATATAATCGATAAGATAAATGAAATGAGTTTAGAACGAGTAATGATAATACAACATGAAGATTGTAACTTACCTGTACCTGACCCAGGAAGATTTTCATGCTGGTTACGACTGGTGAGGGCTACGGCATGTATTCTAAAATTTATATACAAGTGTAGAAAGCAGATTGAGACTGTTTGCACAGTCATGAAGAGGGCTGAGCGATTGCTGCTAAAATATACACAAGAACAGTCATTCGGTGATGAAATAGCTGCAATTAAAAATGGTAACTGTTTGTCAAAAGGTAGTAAGTTACTTACGTTATCTCCATTTCTGGATGAGTACGGGATTCTCCGTGTCGGCGGCCGCATAGATGCTGCACCGGATGTTGAACCTGAAATGAAGAGACCTATCATCTTGGACGGGCGTAGTCAGGTATCTCAATTAATTGTTAGATACAACCATGTGAAGACAGCCCACGGGAACCAGGAAACCGTTGTAAACAACCTGAAACAGAAATATTGGATTATTAGAATACGTCCAACCGTAAAACATGTAGCATATAAATGTATGTTTTGTAGAATAAAAAGAGCAAAACCACAGGTACCGAGAATGGGAGAGCTGCCTGAAGCACGACTGGCTCATCATCAGCGTCCTTTCACACACTGTGGTCTGGATTTGTTTGGACCCATGGAGGTCACTGTGGGGAGACATAGAGAGAAAAGGTATGGAGTTTTATTTACTTGTTTGACCGTCCGTGGAATCCACTTAGAACTGGTATCATCACTTACCTCTGACTCCCTCATTATGGCTCTTCGTCGAATGGCAGCAAGACGGGGTTGGCCTCGTATGCTGTACTCTGATAATGGTACAAACTTGAGAGGCGCTGATGCTGAGCTGAAGAAGTCTATAAATGAGGTAGATTTTGATAGGCTAACAAATGAAGCAGCTAATAATGGAGTGGAATGGACCTTCATCCCGCCTGCCAGTCCCCACTGGGGTGGGGCATGGGAGCGACTTATTAGGAGTGTCAAGACTTCACTTAGGGTAATTTTAAAAGAACGTGCACCACGTGAAGAAGTACTCAACACGCTCCTGACGGAAGTTGAGAATATTGTCAACAGTCGACCCTTGTCACATGTATCGGTAGAAGTAGGTAGTAGTGAGTCTCTAACTCCTAATCATTTTATGTTGTGTTCGTCATCAAATTTGCCAACTGTTGGTGTATTTAATGACTCTGATTTGTACCTACGTAAACAGTGGCGTAAGGCGCAGAGGCTCGCTGACATGTTTTGGAAGCGGTGGGTCAGAGAAGTGCTTCCTGACCTAATACCTAGGCGTAAATGGCAGTACGACCAGACACCGATACAGGTAGGTGATTTTGTACTTATTGTCGATCCTGATGCACCTCGTAATTTCTGGCTGAAAGCTGTGGTTCAGCAGGTGTTTCCAGGAAGGGATGGTCGAGTTAGGGTCGTAGAATTGAAAACTAAGACTGGCATTTTGAAACGGCCGGTGACGCGTGTCGTTCGTATTTCGATGGATAATGAGTGCTGAGCCAGGCTCAACACTGGGGTGGGGTGTGTAAGCGACGCGTTCTGTGCCTTAAAAAACAAAATAATTAAAATGATGTTTGTCTATGTTATTGTCTCTGCATGCGGTGTCGTAGTCGTTTTCAAAAAAACTTATAACCGGCGCAACAGACGCCACGCAGTCTGCACCTAGATGCGATCGACACCGCACGTCATATCTCTAATTAACATTATAAAATTTATGTGTCGAAAATAAATCCAATTGTCTTAAAAGTCTTCGTTTGCCATCACCGTGACCTACCATATTTTATACCATACAACATGTATATTTATATATGTCTTACCTATTTCTTTCATTAAGCACTTTCTAAGCTATTTCTTCATATTATATTAACTTATAAATGGAAGATCCTACTGCTATTTTTTTAAGAAATATAAATTAATACTCATTGTTTCTATCACAGCAGTATCAGTTATAAATGATAAAAATATTTACTTTTCAGAATGGCGAAGTAAAGCAACTGACACCGATAGACTTTCAACTATGCTTCTATGGGTGTCCCATAATAGATTTCCTATACTACATATTCTCGTCGACGGATCAAGAATTCAGAAAGAACCATCTAGAATCTCTCAAAGACGTCTATCACGAAACTATGACAATTTTTTTGAAGCACTTCAATATGGACGTCGAGAAGTACTTTCCAAGGGACGAATTTGAGAAGATGTTTAGAGAGAAACTTGACTATGGTCTTATGGTATCTCTATGGTATACCCCATTCGCTCTGGCCGATGATGGTACGATAGGAGATGTCACTAATATGGATTTGACCACTATGAAAATAGAATTCAATGATGCCACTAAAACTAGAATAAGAGGTATCGTGGATGATTTCATTCAGTGGGGTTATATTTAGATATATAGATATACAACTCTGTTTACAAAATTATTTAAAACTATCTGTACCCGCGACTTCGTCCGCGTGGAATTTAACTTTATTTTACTAAAATAAAATAATTTTTATAAAGTAAAATAGTCTAAGTTACTCCTTATTACTTCAGTATATATATATTTACTATCTGTCTATAAAAGTTTCGTCTAAATAGATTAGCTGTCATCTGTCAGAGATTAGCTGGAACAAGCAGACAGACAGATAAAAATTGTAAAAAATCTTATTTCGGTGTATGTACCGTATTTATATTCATATGCATATAGTGAAAAACGGCATATAGTCAAATTACCTTGTAGAACTTTTATTGGCGTATTTTTACAGTTTTTTACCACGCACAACCATATCATAGAATCACCTTCCAGCAATGGTATTTCTTTAAGTTCCAGTAACTCTTTCTTCATTGGAGTAAAAAATTAGAAGACAAAATTTATTTATAAATCGATAAAGAAGAATTTGACATATATTTGTTAAATACAATGTTTATTATCCTAATAATAATGTTATATTTCCTTACATAGTGTTGATAATTGAACCTTAGTATATTTAATCCAAATTGTTTGTGAATAACAGCAGAAATAATTGAAGATTATCTCAATTATTGTATCCTTCTTAGAATCAATTGTTAAGAGATTTCTTTATACTTTCACTTAGTATTAGGTTCTTAATGAATGTACACGTATTAAATTGACAGACTAGCGGATCGCCGCATTTTACAAGGGTATTTAACAGAATTTATACTATTTAACATACACATATACACACACATTTTTCATTATTGATGTTCTCAATAAAGCTGTAACTTTGCTCTCTTGTCAGTAATTCACATACAATATAAGGTATTATTTTCAAAAGGATTTATAATTTTGAAAATATTATATTATAGTTCATCAGAGATAATGTAGGATTCTAGTGGTTAAATATTTTTTCTAATCGATTCAGTAGTTTCCGAGGCGTTTCAATGCACACAGACATGCAAATCTTTCCTCTTTATGTTAGTAATATATATACTACATTAATGTGATATAATTTTTAATAAGAAATAAAGAAGATACAGGAAATTTTATATTTCAATTCAATAATACCTCCGTTCGAAACTATCTCTATTTCAAATTTCATTAATTTACGTCCAGCCATAAAGTTGTGATAAATTAACAAACGGCAAGTCAGACATACTTTCGAATTCACAATATTAGTACGGACATTATGAAACTTTATAATGATATCAAAGTATTAATTTACACCAAAATTATAAAGCTGAAGAGTTTGTTTGTTTGAACGCGCTAATCTCAGGAACTACTGGTTTAAATTGAAAAATTATTTTTGTGTTGGATAGTCCATTTGTTGAGGAAGGCTTTAAGCTATATACTTTATGCTACGACCAATAGAAGCGAAGCATCAGTGAAAAATGTTGCAAAAACGGGAAACATATTTGAGGGTTTCCTTTGCGTGCGCTGCGCGAATGAAGTCGCAGGCACAGCTAGTAGCATTATAAATTGATTGATTGATCTAATTTTGTTACTATATATTGATGTAATAACTCCTAAACAATGTATAGACCGGGCAAATAAAGTACTTACAAACGAATGTGTTTCTTTTTCCATTAAGTTTTTATGTAATTAATATCTCACGGAAAATGACCGAGGACTACCCTTATTAATTAGATTTGTTACAAATAAGATTTCTATTCGGTATTTCTTCTTAACATCCGATATTAACGAATATCTGCAGATAGAAAAAATACCTGAACGCATTTTATTTGTAAACATTATGTGATACATTTTGTTGGAGGTTTGGGCTATTGTCAGGTGCTTGGACATGTAACACTGCGATCTACATAGATCTATTGAGCTCGCCCTTTTTCTGAATACGCTACCTAGACCCGTCAGAGAGAAGAATTAAAGGATATTCCTAGGAGCGATGGTTTTTATCTCCACAGAATAATAATAATATCAGGACAATTCACACAGCGCCATCTAACCCAAGTTAAGCTAGCTAAAGCTTGTGTTAAGGGTACTAGATAACTGACACAAATATATGGTTTTATGTTTCGTAAATACATACATATAATACATAGAAAACACCCAGAGCGATATGGTTTTTATCTCCTCAGGATAGAGTGTAAACTTTCCAATGGAGATATTTAGTTTATTATGCATGAGTGGGCTACAACCACATAGGATGTTTAGTGCCTTTTCCTCTTCAATTTGGCAAAAATGTGATGGATGAAATAAGTAGTTTATTGCTAGCTGGTCAACACAACCATCCAATATCACTGAATATATCTGATTATAACTGACGCCTATATACATCACTATCGACATCACGATAAAATAAATAAAGAACCCTGGACAATTACACAACGTCATCTAGTCTCACGGTAAGCAGAGTGTGTGTTATGAGTACTAGACAACTTATACAAATACTTAGATTTCTTAAAGTTTATTTTCTTTTTCTTTAGTTTATTTTCTTAAAGTCAATATAGTATGTTAATAGTGACCATATCACCCTGACAATCAGGTGCCAATTTGAGTCCTTTTAACATCACTAACACAACAGATTACGAGTATGCCATTTTTCCTGTTCTATAAAGCCGTCAATATCACCCATCGCCCTCTTTTTAAATCTTTCGGCTATACCTTCCAAATCCAATAAATGTCGTTTACGGAGATCAACTAAATTGCCCTTCGTTGCAAATAAAAATGAAGTGAAATAAGTGAAACAGGACATTCCATAGAAAAGATTTTCCTTTCAATCCCAAATAATTTTCTCGAGAACACGTGGACCTTGTACAATAGATAGAAAAAATTGAAGGAAATTTGTATTAAACCTTAGTTTTTTGTCACTGAAATGACAAACAACTTAACAGCTTACCTGATGGTAGATGGTATACATGCAAAGGAGCATCTTGTCATACACTCCCTGTCTTACGGTCTCGCTAGTCTAGTAGTTTAGCACACCGAATAACCTCCAATAGCTTTGATTCCTCGCACGGTCAATATTTGTATACATAAGCATGTTTGTATTGGTCTGGGAGTTTTCGATGCAAATTATTTGATGACCTCGGTGGTCTAGCGGTCTAGCACACCGCTTTACGTCCAGTGGTCGCGGGTATGATTCCTCGCACGGCACAAACTTTTGTATTCATGAGTATGATTGTTTGTATCGATCTGGGTGTTTTCTATGTATATTATGTATGTATTTACGAAAAAAAATTATGTATGTATATGTATCAGTTATCTAGTATCCATAACACAAGCTTTAGCTAGCTGAATTTGGGTCTAGATGGCGCTGTGTGAATTGTCCTGAGATTATTATTATTGTTATCATAATTATGTATGCATTTATAAAAAATGTATTTAAATATTTGTATCAGTTCTCTAGTATACAAGCTCTCCATAACACAAGCTCTGCTTGGGATTAGATTGCGCTGTATAAATTGTCCTGAATTATTAGTACATTGTTGTTAAGTATACTTTCTAATTAATTTCACTCAGCAATTAAAGGGTAGCTAAAATGGGGAGACAGTGGTACCCACGCAAATTAATTTCAACAAAGCCTACCTCGGTGCTAATCTAAATGTTAAAAATGTAGGATGTTGTAACTCGATAATGCAATACCTTTATGCTAGGGATCTAACAGTAGGTTTATTGTAAAAAGGGATATTACAGAGCTCATTGTGCTATCTTATCCATGCAAATGACCTGCGGACCTACGTGACTATGGTACAAAGAGTACTGTACTAGAAAACATATATAAATGTCAACGAAGGTGAAATTGCAATTATTTGATAATAAAGACAAATATTGGAATTTACACCAACCAAAGTATACAGATCCTAATTAATATAAAGTAAACATAATAAACGAAGTACAATATACGTAATCTAGAAACACTGTTTGACAATACAAGCTATCTGATATTATAAATACAAGAGGAACATATATTTACTCTCATATTAACATCACAAAGTACGCCATCATGGAATTAGAAAGGAAATTTTGTAATAATATTTTAGAAGATAAAGGTAAAATTAACAAAAGTGATCAAAATACTATATCTCTACCGTTAAAAGAAGCTTTAAATAGCATTATACATAAAGAAAAATATACAACATATGAATTAAGTACAAGAAATGTTGCTTTAGACGGTGGTAACTTCTTAGCAACATTGATTACAGCAGATATAAAAGGAAAAACCAAAGATGGCGCAAAAGAGATAAATATTTTCATAAAAAACATTATACGAGGTGATTTTATATCTTATTTATCAATATCCGACGTATACTTAAGAGAATTATTTGCTCATAATGAACTACTTAAAATATACAGTAAACTACAAGAAGAAGCCGCTGTACCTTTAGAAGAAAGATTTAATACAGTAAAATGCTACGAAGAAAGTAGTTCTGATTTTATTATTTTAGATAACTTAGAAAATCAAGGTTTCACAACCGTTGACAGATTGGAACCAGTGTCTTTGAATTTCGCTGAGATATCTGTGAAGCAACTGGCCAAATTTCATGCCCTATCTTTTGTACTGAAGAAGATGATGCCGGAATATTTCAGAGAGAAAGTGAAGCCTCTTAAAATGGTTATGAACTATGATGACAAGGATTGGAAGATGCTTGTAAGGAACTTCAGCTACGTATCTATAAATAATACAGAAGACGACAATATAAAGAAGAAATTAGAAGATTTAATCCCAATTACACTTAAAAAATTACCCGAGTATTATTTAAATACGAGTGTAGAATGTTTGTGTCATGGAGACTACAGATCAACTAATTTGATGGTAAAAATAAATGTAAGTTATTATTTATATTTATCTATTCATTACTAAACATATTCCTAATTACTGGATATAAATATGTAACGATATACAAGGGACTCTCTTAGTGATTCCATATAGATGATTTTAAATGCAATGGAGAAATTCTGAATAATATTATTTCATATACAATATATTTATACCAAACTATCGGATACGTGCGACTTCGTCTGCATTTTTAAGACAATAGCTATAGGCATAGGCCCGTTGTTGTAATATAGTCTATATTTCTAATCTTATTGTTTATATTGGTCTGAGTGTTTTCTTCTTCTATTGCCTGGCCTTGGTCATATTTATTTGGGATCGGCCTGTCTGGTCAGTCTTCGCCAGGACGTTCTGTCCTGAGTCGTCTGAGATGTTATTTTGGTGCTTTTTATATCCCTCTCAAAAGCGGACATCCATGTGAGACGGGGTCTGCCGCGTCTTCTGGGCTAGGTACTTATGTCAACTGTTCTTGTCATGTGGTCTGATGGTCGCCGCATGACATGACCGTACCACCTTAGGCGGCTCTCTTAAATCTTCTCCTGTATGGGAGTTACCTTAAAACTACCTTGAACGTGGATGTTTTAGATGTGGTCTGAGTGTTTTCTATGTATTTAAAAAGAATATTCCAGTGTATATTTCGTTCGTTTATAGTTCGCAAGTACCCAAAACACAGGCTGGGACTGGATAGCGCTGTGTGAATTGTCCAGGGTTATTGTTATTACTAATTCTATTTCCCCAGAATGGTGAAGTAACAAAACTCATCGCAATCGACTACCAGTTCATGTACTGCGGCAATCCACTGAACGACTTAATGTTCTACATCTTCACGGCAACTGACCAGCAGTTCAGGGAACGGCACTTGGAGTACATCAAGAACTTATACCATGACACCATGACGACCTTCCTCAAATACTTCGATATTGACGTAGAAGACTATTACCCTAGGAGGGATTACGAACGGTTGTATAAAGAGAGACTTGACTTTGGTCTGATGAGTTCTATTTGGGTGTTGCCATTAACTTTAGCTCCCGGGGAGGACGCTCCTGATTTTTCCAAAACCGCCCCATGTAATATTCAGTTAAAAGTACATAGTAATTTCAAATCCAGGTGGAACGGCATTGTTAATGATTATACAAAATGGGGATACTTATAGCAATATATCCAAATAAAGAAATCTGGAATACAAGTTTGTGATTTGATTAAAATTAACTATATTTACACTGTCTTTTATCTTTGCATAGTAGAAATAGAAATAGAAATTATCTTTATTCAAATAAACTCATTACAAGCACTTTTGAATAGTCATATTTTGATTCTACCACTCATTCGGAATGCAGATTCATCACAAGAAGAACGAGCAAGAAACTTGTGTGTTGCTCTTTTTAATAGATGTTATTTTATATAAATAATTACAGTATAACAAGTAAGAGGCATGCGATAATCAACATAGAAGTCGCTACGCACTCATTATTAGTGTAATTAGATAATATTGTCAGTGCTATGGATTTAAAGTTTTTCTATAAAAACATTATTATCGTTAAGGAATAATGAAGTATAAAATGACGTCGCTTCTGCTGTCTGTTCGCTTAGATCTTTTAAACTACACAACGGATTTTAATGCAGTGTTACGAATAGATATAGTGATTCAAGAGGAAGTTTTATATGCATAATACATGAACACCCGTATGAAGCCGGGGCTAGTCTATACATATAAATAAAATTGGAGTATCTGTTTGTAATATTGAAATGACCATTTTTTACTACTTGCATATGAATATAAATACGGTACATATACCAAAATAATATTTTATACAATTTCATTTAAAGTCTATGCGGGCGAAGTCACAGGAACAGCTAGTTATTTATAAAATAAAAGTACAATGATACCATTGTACCATTTTAATAGATATTAAAGATATAAATACAATATAAATTTAGATATATTTATATACATAGTTAATATATATATAATCAATACATAAATATATAACCTAAAAATTATAAAAGAAAACAATGTTTTGTAATGTGTGTAATATATTGTTTATATTTTTATGTCATTTTTGTTATGTCACGACAAGACAATAAAAATTCTATTCTATTCTTTTGTTGCAACAAATAAATAGGTTTCTAGAGCAACTGCACCCAACAACACGCCAAAAGTACATTTGTTACTGGCGTAGTACAGTGGGAATATTTATAAGGGAACATTTTTTCAGCTCGAACTCTTGAAAACATGGCGGGAAAAACAATGTTGATCGATGTTATTGTTATACAAATATCGTGAGATTAAAGTGGGAGGAAGCATTACGTTATTTAATTACTTATACGAAAATATCCTTACGTTTTGTTGAATTGTACATTTACTAGTTTCTGCATGCTGCTTCGTTGTCGTAACCGATTTAAATGTAAATAGAATAGTTAGTAGAAACTTCTTGCACTTTTGAATTGCCTTCTTTTTTTTAACGGTAGATGTTACTCAATTATAATTAAATACAATTGCCACGCAATATAGACAAGTTTCGAGGAAATAGATTACTTGGAATGTTATGGGAAGAAGCGAGGGCCATATCTTATAGAAAGCTGTCTACACACTCAACGCAACGCACCGTGGGCTGTGGGAGCGGTGCTGCGCATCGGCAGCTGCGGCCGGTGGCGGGCACCGACACTTCTAGTCCGACCGGCATCGACACTGACCGGCTTACGAATAATCCAACCATTCTAAATTTAATGTGCATCTTTTTTTTTTTTTATAACACAGGGGACAAACGAGCATGCGGCTCACCTGATGGTAAGTGATTACCGCCGCCCATGAGGGGATATGCAACACCAGGGGAATTGCAAGTACGTTGTCGGCCTTTTAAAAAGGAATAAGCTCTTTAGTTCATAACAGTTATTATATTATATCTATACACAGTCCACTAGTTTCATTGGCTATCCAGGACGTAACAAAAACATTTAACATGATCGTGGATGGATGGAAAAAGAGAGGACGACCAAAAAGATGGATGAATTGTGTGAAAGATGATATGTATAAAAGGAGATATGACGAATAAACTCAGATGACGGCTAACAAGGGTCATTGGAAGAAGAGGACATACTTTGTTGACCCTAAACAATAAGACAAAGGCAAAGATGATAACTACGCAATAAATTTTGAATATCTAGAAAACTTTAATAAAAGGAATTATAAAATCAAGAACAAATCTGACTTTGATCTATAGAGATTAATTTTCTGTAAATAAATAATGGTTGGCCAGGATGTACGCTGAAAAAACCAAGATTGGGTTTTATTAGAAACAGAAAAAATCAACCTAAAAAGAGGATAACTAATGTCCGCCATTAACTACGTTTTTGGTCAGTTATTGTTAACTTTCTCAATCTATAGGCTGCATTTAAAATATTTATTACAGTTAATCATTTTAATAGTAATATAGAATATTGAGTTTACAATGAAAACGCATTTAAGTATTTGAATGAAAGAAAATTAAACATATTTTCTTTATATTGAAAGATTATTTAGCAATGTATTATACAATAATAATAATAATTGTATGTGAATTATCCTGGGTTATTAAAATATAATTTAAAAATATGTTATATATGAATGTTGATGCTTATATGGACCGAGGAAGACCGAAAAAGAGATGGATGGACTATGTTAAAGATGATATGGTAAGAAAGATAATAAGTAACGATGACTGCGAATAGGGACGAATAAAAGAGAAAAACACATTACCCGACCCTAAAGGAAGAAGCAGATAATGATGATGATGATTAAAAATATAATTAATAAATAAACTTTTACTATTAGCTAAAATATTATTATCATGTAGTAGGTCGAAATAGATATACCTAATAATATTGCTTTAGTGGTAATCTTCATCCTTTACCTTCCAAAAAACTTCCAAATATTTCATTAAACCTTTCGTTAACTTAGCAAAATTTCGAATTGGCCAGCTATAGGTACTATGAACACGCAAACAAGCCAATTTTCATTATTACGATAACAGAGATTAATTCTTGGTATGATATCAATGTTGGATTATCAGACAGAAATATAACTCGACACAATAGGATTTTTCTATTCATATTGTCATCCAAGTTTGATCTTAAAACTTCTCGGGTATAAATAAGGTAGTAAACCAATACGACACGACGATAAAATCAATATTGAGTTTATAATCTACTATACTTCTTATTTTCTTAGTTCTTAACAATTCTGTTATAATGCAGGCCGTAGATTGGACACGGCTGTTCGAACCGATCAAATAAGAAGCAAATAAGAAATAAGTGAGGGCGATGGGAAAACTCGGGAAGTTTCCAGTAACGGGAAATATTCAAACAATTCATATTCGTTTGAAAATTAATGACTTCGGAAGTCACGCTTCGGCTTTGTTAGAAATAATGAGATCAATTTCATCACGATCAGCCATTTCGAAAACGTACTTTTATTAGGCAGAACCGTATAAATTATCCTTTTATTGATATTACTAGCGAAACGTCGTGGCTTCGCACGTATATTTCAACTAATTTACACAAAATCTTAACGAATTGTATACAAAACAAAATAACATATGTACCTACATATAATTCGGAGCATTCAATCGCTTGCCAGCTTTAAAGCGTCTGTTATTCTCATAACTAATCTTCCTTCATTCTTTCCAAATGTATGTGCACTATTAAGTATATGCATGTGTATGTATATATGTATTAATGTGTGTGTATGTTTATATTTATGTATATTTGAGTCCTATATATTTATTTTTGTTGATTACGTGCGTACCCTGTTCTTATTTTTATTTCTCTATCCACCTAAAGGTAGTCTGGAAGAGATTGCTTAGCGATAAGACCGCCTTTTGTATCAGTCTATATTTTCCATTTTAATTGTTTTTTTTGTTTTTGTTCTGTAATTGGTGCAATAAAGAGTATAAATAAATAAATAATTTATGACGTAAAATTACCTCGTGGGTATGTTTGTAAACTATAATGAGCCGTTTACAAATTTCTCAGTTTGCCTTATGGTTGATTCGTAAAGAAGGCCCTTAGGTGTTAAGTTCGTCATATGTACATGTATATATTGTATTTGTGCATTACAGTTTATATAAATAATTAATATCTTAGGACAACTCACAAAGCCATCTAGTTCCATGCTAAGCAGAGATTTTGTTATGGGTACTAGACCTTTTACCACCGAACCGCTCGCCATCGACAAGGAATTCATCGCCACACGCTAGAACCTAAGGGGTCTCGGACAGTGCGGTTTCAAAGGAGCTTCCTCCCGCATACACTTAGATTGTGGAATGAATTACCTACAGAGGTATTCTCTCGAGACTACGGCATGGGATTTTTCAAGAATGGTATATTAAAGTTTCTTAAGGGTCAGCCACGTAACATCCCTGGTGCTTCAGGCGACCATAGGCTACGGTAACCATTTACCATCAGATTTGCCGTATGCCTGTTTGCCACTATAGTAGTATATAAAAAAAATACATAGTTAAATTTTATTTTTGCAAATACATATATAACACTCAGACCTATAAAAATCATACTCATGTTTGTACCGTGCAAGAAATAGAACCCGAGACTATCGGAAGTAAGGCGGTGTGCCGTACCACTAAACCACGAGGTCATAATAATTAAGTTAATATGCTATTAAAAGTATAGTACTTATAGCAATTCACTCTCCATTATCACGTTTCTTTGTAGACGACAATGATCCATCAACGTACAAACAATAGCCCGTTTAACATGGACCACAATGGGCGGTAAATTGAATCCATTGTCCGACTTGAGTTTGGGTGTTATTCATCGATTTTGCGTGGATACAATCCAACATACAATGTGGCTTGGTATATAGCTTAAAAAATTAAAAGTAGCAAGTACATTTTCTAAGATAATACGTTTTTTCTAAGAAAATTACATGACGTTCGTCGGAGAAGTGTCACAAGTCCCGGGAACTGCTCGGAGTTTCCCTCTCTGCCACACGATGGACCCGGCATCTGCACGGTTAATCCATGGAATGCTAATAAGTTTGTCTCTATTTTGTAAGACATATTAGAAATTTACAAGTTTATGTACGTGCATTTTGTAACAAAGATATTTGTCAATATTTTTTGTAACTTACGTGTATAATTTTAGTAACGCAATTCTTTC